ATTCTACCCACGAGGTTACAAAGAGAAAATGCAATGATTATTATTAACGTAACCTTCAGGTATGTTCTACCCACGAGGTTACAGAGAACAAATGCAATGATTACTATTAAATGTAACCGTCAGGTATATTCTACCCACGAGGTTACGGAGAGCAAATGCAATGATTATTATTAACGTAACATTCAGGTATGTTCTACCCACGAGGTTACAAAGAGAAAGGGCAATGATTATTATTAACGTAACCTTCAGGTATGTTCTACCCACGAGGTTACAGAGAGCAAATGCAGTGATTATTATTAATGTAACCATCAGGTATGTTCTACCCACGAGGTCACAAAGAGAAAATGCAATGATTATTATTAACGTAACATTCAGGTATGTTCTACCCACGAGGTTACAGAGAGCAAATGCAGTGATTATTATTAATGTAACCATCAGGTATGTTCTACCCACGAGGTTACAAGCTCTCGTACAGAGAGCAAATGCAGTGACTATTATTAATGTAACCATCAGGTATGTTCTACCCACGAGGTTACAGAGAGCATGCAAATGCAGTAACAATTATTAGATTTTAGTGCAACTATCCAGGACTATCAGGTTGAGTTCCTCCATTAATAGAGGTTTTTGCTAGGGTTAAACAAGTTTGGCTTTCATGGGTTTCAAGGTGCAAGAAATTATCAGTATAATTATAGCACACAAACATTGTCATCTAATTTTTCGCACGTAGCCGGAATAGGCCAAGAAATGAAGCATATATAACGAAAAATCGTCCTCAGATGATCTCCATATTAAGTAAATTATACTAAACGTCGCGAAAGAAATTATTGTTTGTACCCGTCTTATCCATTGTAAAAGCGAGGGGTCATCGCATGACATCCGGTATATTAAACAGAGGTAATACTCACGGGTTTCACGAGTTGTATGCACTATTTTTCGCCGAGGAAACAAATTTAAACCTCAATTCTTACCTTACAGTAGTCCATTCTTTTACCTTGCATTCGACAACAGATCTGTTAAAGGCGAACAAAGCGATTCCGGCCCTCTTCTTAACTAGCAAGCCGCAGGAACTAAAGCCGCTTGACTGAAGTAAAATCCACCGATATGCACGGCATTCTCACTACAAATGTAAACAAACGTCGCGGGGAAAAAAAGACGAGGAGGAAAAAATGCCAGATCTTCGCCTCAGCAATGTATTCCAGCTACCTTGCCGGCGTATCTCCAGAAGGTGGACTCGAAGTGGGACAAACCTTGTGATTTTTTTTAGAAGCCCTTTGCGCGCAAACTAATTTATTCTGGCGCGAAATGAAGATTAACAATATGTATACTGAAATCTAATCCACGACAAGAAGATTTTTCGCACTGTAGCGCGACATATTAGATGCCTATTTTTACAAGTACGCGGAGAAAGCGGTCGACTAGTTTAACATTTTTAAGATGAATTTACTCCACAAAAGCAAAATGAAATGTTTTATCTCTATGTTGTTTACGTACCTGATTAGAAGGCAGAAGTAAATTCATCATACAGACCCCGTCAAAATGAAAGTACACGAATGAAACGGAATAAGTCTGGGACGGTTTAGTTTCTACTCAGCAGCTTCTTTGCTTCTATAACAAAAATTTAATGTTGCAGTCTGTTTTAAACGTTGGCATATCAACGCGCACAGTCACTGAATGAAAACAACAGTCACGATCACGTTCTTCGAAACCGACCAGACGCGCGCGACCTACCACTGTTATGGTAAGCAATTATCCTGAAGGTGTTAATTTTCCCGTGACAGTCTTCGCACTGAAGGTGTAAATGGTAAACCGAAAGGTCGCTTTGATCATCAGAAAGACCTGTCAACTTTGATGATTTAACTGATTAAATTACGGGACAGAAATTTTACTGCTTGCGGCTCCTCGTGATTGTCAAAAGTTCCTAGTTTAACGCCTCTATGACGCTTGCTCGAATAAAGCCGGCATGTGGATTTCTTTCAAACCGTCGAAAGCATTTTATGAAAAGATTTATATCGTAAGATGTACAATTAAAAGTAAAATCATCGGACGTCTAGTGAATTAAACACGTTAGAAAAATATTAGGTTTAACATCACTGGAATGCTAATTTCAACAACAAAGAAAGGAGAAAAAGCGAGAGAGGCATGTTAATATATGCCATCATCTCATTAAAAACCGTTTGTCCATAACGCCCTGATCGATCTTGCGAACAACTGAAACGAAGTGCTTGCTTTGGTTTGCTTTCATTGTTATGCATGTCAGCGATGCACCTTTATTGTTTTCATGAAAATGACGGAAAGGCATTTTCCATTTCTAATAAATCGGAAAACACTAGTAGAAACCCCATCACAACAAGGCTTGAAGCGTAAAAGTCGTTGGATTCAATTTTCATATTACTTGGATGATCATAATGCTCATAGCAAAGAGACGATACGAAGTCCACCTAAGAAATTTCCAGTCAAACCTTACAAGTACTCCATGGGGGAAGAGGAGGAATATTAATTT